GAGACAAGACCACTCTCTCGTAGCTCTCAAATCCAACAGACCATATTACACAACCACTCTCCTAGCTCTCACATCCAACAGACCATATTCCACAACCACTCTCTCATAGCTCTCGCTTGAAACAGACCATACTAGAGACAAGACCACTCTCTCCTAGCTATTACATCAAACAGACCATATTGAACATCCACTCTCTCCTAGCTCTAACATTAAACAGACCATATTACACAACCACTCTCTCATAGCTCTCACATCAAACAGACCATACTAGAGACAAGACCACTCTCTCCTAGCTATTACATCAAACAGACCATATTGCACATCCACTCTCTCCTAGCTCTCACATTAAACAGACCATATTGCACATCCACTCTCCTAGCTCTCACATCAAACAGACCATATTGCATAACCACTCTCTCCTAGCTCTCACATCAAACAGACCATATTGCATAACCACTCTCTCCTAGCTCTCACATCAAACAGACCATATTACACAACCACTCTCTCCTAGCTCTCACATCAAACAGACCATATTACACAACCACTCTCTCATAAACAGACCATATTGCACATAGCCACTCTCTAGCTCTGAAACAGACCATACTAGAGACAAGACCACTCTCTCCTAGCTATTACATCAAACAGACCATATTGCATATCCACTCTCTCCTAGCTCTCACATCAAACAGACTATGTTGCACATTCACTCTCTCCTAGCTCTCACATTAAACAGACCATATTACACAACCACTCTCTCATAGCTCTCACTTCAAACAGACCATACTAGAGACAAGACCACTCTCTCCTAGCTATTACATCAAACAGACCATATTGCACATCCGCTCTCTCCTAGCTCTCACATTAAACAGACCATATTGCACATCCACTCTCTCATAGCTCTCACATCAAACAGACCATATTGCATAACCGCTCTCTCCTAGCTCTCACATCAAACAGACCATATTGCATAACCACTCTCTCCTAGCTCTTACATCAAACAGACCATATTGCACATCCACTCTCTCCTAGCTCTCACATCAAACAGACCATATAACATAACCACACTCTCCTAGCTCTCACATCAAACAGACCATATAGCACATCCACTCTCTCCTAACTCTCACATCAAACAGACCATATTGCATAACCACTCTCTCCTAGCTCTCACATCAAACAGACCATATTGCATAACCACTCTCTCCTAGCTCTCACATCAAACAGACCATATTGCATAACCACTCTCTCCTAGCTTTCACATCAAACAGACCATATAGCACATCCACTCTCTCCTAGCTCTCACATCCAACAGACCATATAACATAACCACTCTCTCCTAGCTCTCACATCCAACAGACCATATAACATAACCACTCTCTCCTCATTGATGTTAAATTATAGCACTTCATGTAACATTCTTCACATTGAATGTACCTGGTGAGAAAGAGTGCCAATTTAGTGTTTAAAAGAAGAACCCATAACATATTTTTTCTGGTTTTAAGGATGTCCTTGCCCATTTTTTTTCAAAAGATCAAGAAAGCAAACAGGATACAGTTTTTGTGGATTCTGTTTCTTTAATGGTCGAGAAACCTTTTTCAAATAATACTCTTGTTTTCTTTGATTTTTTTTATTGATTATATTTTTTTGTAATTCATTCAAGACTTAGGTTATCCAGTCTCCTGTTTTCATTCTCTGATGCTGCCCAAGACAATCAAAGTAAGGAGTAGACTTGGCCTGGTTCACTGTAACGGCTACATTTTTAAAGAACACCCTAAATGTTCCAGAGTTGTGCTGTCACGATGGCCTGATTATTTTAAGGTCATTTTATGTGAAAACATGCTTCATTTCTTACAAACAAACACTCATTTATGCAAATTGTGAGAGTGGCGCTTGCTACCAGTACGACAGTACATGCTTACCCTTTATATGAAATTATTTTCTGGCGATGACATTTTATTTTTCTTCTATTTTGTTTCTTGATTTTACTTTCTGTTTCTTTGAGTTTTTATTTGGTTACAACTGCTGAAAGAAAGCTGTCACAATTTTAATTGCTTTGAAAAGTATTGAATCCTACATATACTTATAACCCGTGAAGATCTCGGTTGAGAATTGATCTTCAGTAACCCATGCTTGTCCTAAGAGGCAACTAACAGGATGGTCAGGCTCACTGACTTGGTTGACACATGTCATTGTATCCCAATTGCGTAGATAGATGCTCATGCTGTTGATCACTTGATTGTCTGGTCCAGACCCGATTATTTACAGACCGCCGCCATATAGAATATTTCTGAGTGCAGTATTAAACAACAAACCAACCAACCAACATATACTGGTGTCATGTAGTTAATGCATTGTAATAGTAAAAGAAGCAACATTCTTCAACAGTTGGATAACTTGATGGTTATGTTCATTATTCAGGAATAATTGTTCATCTTTTTGAAACAATTGTTTTTCTGTTACTTAATAATCTGAATCATATTGCAGTTTCAAATATTTTTGTAATTTATTTTAGTAATGGTTTAATATGACATTGAACAAACAGACAATCAATAATTTCATTAAACACAGATAATACTTTTCCCTAATATCAAAGTAAAAAGTAACTTGCATTTTATAGGTTTAAGATAAGTTAGGATGAAAAGTAAAAGAGTTTTAGGTAAGAAAAATAGTATCAAGTACGATGATAAATGTAAGACTACATTATAGCTACTGATATTCAATAAAGGAAACTGACAAAATTCATCATTCATTTATAGATGATCAGCTGTTAAATACAATATGAGATTGTAAGTAAAACACATACAACAATTGAAAGATCATAAATTTGAAGAACTTGCATAAATATAGAAATGAAAAGAGAGATCGAAAGAGAAGCACAGATGGTTCATTCAGCTTCTACATACCTTTCACAGTGATTTGTGTGTATGGAAGATTGCAAAGTGAAGCTGAAAGTTTCTGAAATGTTCATTGAAATGTCTTTGCCTGTGCCAGTGAAGACACTACCTTATGCCCTGTACTGTATGTGTCCTCCACTTGCTTGAATGGCTGCCTGCCACTTCTTCCCCATGGAACCATGATGACACCTTGTGGGATGGCAGACCTTTCTCTCTGAAGAATCTGGTTTAATTGCTGCCAATTCTGTGGTCCTGGGCCTCTTTTCACAAAGCACTAAGGTGATCGTAAGTCACTAAGGTAACCTTAGTGCAATTGTTCAAGAATGGGAGTTAAGGTTAACCTCAGTAAAAGTTGCTTCGTGAAAGGAGCCCCTGGGCCCCAATCCTGAAAGTGTTCATTGCACTACGACATCTGTAACTCTGTGTGAAAAGTCTAGGAGTTACGATCATCTTAGTGCTTCAGTTGCTTTGTGGAAGAGGCCCCTGGTGGACATTGATGAAAATGTCTGACTTCCTCTTCCCACAGATGCCAAGGCGGTTGAGATCAGGTGACCTTGACACACTTTCCAGCATCCATGTCTGAGCTGCATCAGAATGAACATTGTCATGTTGAGCCAGAACATTGGTACATAGCATCTCAAGACAATAACAGCCACGGATATTAAGTTGCCATGAATGTAAACAAGATCTGTTATATGCCAAGGAAAATGGCTTCCCAGATCATGTCACTTCCTCCAACAAATCTTTCTGAACACTTCTTGTAGGGTCCATCTGGAATAAAGCTCATTCTGATACACATAGATTCATTCATATCTCCTTTGAAGAAGGAAATGTAATTCGTAACTGTGGTAAATTAATGCAAAATTAGGGCCTTCTTTCACTGATTTTTGGAGCTAGTATTGCATTGTATGCTGTAGTGAGTGTAATGTTTCAACAGGTGAAACACTGGACATAGTCAAATTTCTGTGGTGATCTCCCTGACATTGAATCATCTGTACCAATGCAGAGATGCCAACTCATACGATTTTATCGTATTCGTTACGAAAAAACAACACAAAATATGTGACTACGATGGCAGTAATTTATACAAAATTTTAAAAGAATACATGAAATTAAATTATCAAATAGCATATGTACCATAGCATATGTCTTGTAACTGATGCCATGCCCAAAGTATAAAAATTGTACTCAGGGCAACATTGAAATGCCTTTCGACTGATGCTTGTGATTCACCAACTTCAAGTCCAACAATACCATTTTTTCCGTCATTATTGCCAAGTCTTGACATAACGAATGTCTACCTTTACCTTGTGAAAGTTTTATAATGCAATATGTCATAAACCTTCCCCAGACAGCTGTGACAGATTCCATGACTTACACATGAGTGAGTGAGTGAGTTTAGTTTTACGCCGCTTTTAGCAATATTCCAGCAATATCACGGTAGGGGACACCAGAAATGGGCTTCACACATTGTACCCATGTGGGGAATCGAACCCGGGTCTTTGGTGATCAGCCAACGCTTTAACGACTAGGCAACTTACACATGAAAACTACGATATATGACGTACTGTAGATAAGCCGATCTCATAGATAAGCTGAGGTCCTAACTTGGCCCTTAAAATCTGTATCAAATGGTTTGTCCCGTACATAAGCCGAACCACTAACCTTCGTTCATTTTCAGGCAGTGGTACCTTTCAGTTTCTCCGAAAACCAGAATCAAGCAAATGTGATAGGCTATTGATCTAAATCTTTTTAAAGACAGTGAAATGGTTTTTGACAATGAGGAAAAAAGAACATGTAAACCTATCAGGTATCAAATGTGGTTTGAGCGACCCTGAATTTGTATGAATATTACTAAAATGTCCTATGTATGAACGATACAGGTAGACAGCAAGGGAATTCCCCTAACTGCAAATGATATTCTTCTGCAATCAATGGAGGTCTATTTTATGAACACCTCGGGTTGTCACTGTAGCTTGATCTGAGAGTGTAAGTTCTCAAATTTGTGTGAACTGTGTGAAGTCTGCTTTTGTCCCCATGACAGAATATGATTGAACTGCAATGAGGACAGTTTGAACTGTACACTGTATTCAATGTTTCTATTTTCAGATGGTCCTTTGGAATTGTATTGTTCGAGATTGTGACCCTAGGTGGCACTCCATACCCTGGTGTAGCCAATCGAGAGCTGTTGTCAAAGCTGCATGCTGGATACCGTATGGAGCGCCCGGATAACTGTTCCACTGAAATGTGAGTTTTGATTTTTACCAACTGTTGAACATATTGTTACAAAGGAAAAATACCCCTGAAGATCCAGGTTAGAATTGGTCTGCAACAACCAATGTTTGACGTAAGAGGCAACTAACAGGATCAGGTGGTTAGGCTTGCTGACGATATCCTAGCCCAGAGAGCATTCAGACGTTGGCCTAACGTTGGCAATGGTTATCCCAACATTGCCAACGTTGGGCCAACGTCTGAATGCTATCTGGGAGATTTGTATATCAATGTACATACTGTTGATCACTGGATTGTCTGGTCCAGACTCAATTATTTACAAACTGCTGCCATACAGCTGGAATATTGCTGAGTGCCGTGTTAAACAACAAACAAACATAAGAAACAACATTGTTGTCAGGGTGTAGAGTTAGTAATGGAGCGGCAGCAAGTTTGGTTTCACCCCAATTATGTTTCTAGGTTTCCCATACCCATGCTCTTGGAGTTTACCAAAGCTGTGAATGTCAAAGACTGGCATCACTTCAGGGTTTCATGCAGACATGCTGTGATATTAATAATAATCAGAAGTCTTATAATGCACTAATCTCCACGCAACAAAGCATGCTCAAGGCGCTAACACCCTGATTATTATTACCCCGGATAACCCAAGCTGCCTGTTAGGCGCTAGAAGGTTATAGTCATATGACTTTATCCAACCGGGTACCCTTTTTCTGCTGGGTGAACAGAGGCAATTTTGAACAAACTCACTTGCCTAAGGTGAGACTTGCTTCATTGTGGGGCAGGACGGAAGTCCCAGAAACTCTCAGGAGTCAAACACGGTCACCCATCCAAGGACTGTCCGAGCTCGATGTTGCTTAGTCTCAACTGATTCGTGACCTGCGCTCTGTGCACAGGACCACACGCCACCATATTACTGGAATACCATTCAAAGCTTCAAAATCACTCACTCAACTTAATTTTTTGTTTCCTATCTCATTTGGCAATAGTTTACATTTTGTCCATAGTCATGTTCTAATCAATATATTTGTTTGAAAAGGTTAAAAGGATCTTGTTTGATTTTAGGGCTAGTTTGGCTCATGTGCAGTTGCAGTTGGCTGAAAGAGTGTCAGCCATTTTTTGTATTGTGATGAATGAAGGAAACTAGTTGTTATTAAAAAGGTTTTGTTAGTTGAGGAATTATGGAGATAACACGTTTTGATCAGTCCGAGATTATTTCCATGGCCAGAGTAAGAGAGTGTTTGGGGCTACGTGTGCATTTGGGCAGCGTTTTAAATTTTTTAAGCATGAGCGGAAATCCCAAAGTGACGGGGTTGACTACTTTGGTGAAAACCCAAAGCACGGTTCTCACGAATCATGTGACCAGGCTTTCTGATGCTTGAAATAGTGACGTAATTGGCACATGTAAAAGTCTTCTCCCTTAATGTTTGATGAACTCTGTTTCACATTGTAATCTTTTAAATGCACACATGGCCCACCTATCACTTTTAAAGCTTGTTGAAGTGCGCAGAATGATTTTCTTGAAAACCATATATGTTTCTTTTTGGACATGTGTATGTTTATACCAACCAGATATATTGTCATGGCGAATATCAGTAACTGATGATGATGATGATGATAGAAAAGATGACAACAGAAATGATGATAGCAAAGATGACAAGAAAATGCTGCTGCTGCTGCTGCTGCTGCTGATGATGATGATGATGATGGTGGCGAAGTTGACAATATAAATGGTGATGATGATGGTGATGATGATGATGATGATAGCAAAGATGGCAATATAATTGATAATGATAGCATTTAAGATGACAATAGAAATGATGATGATGATGATGATGGTGGCGGCGAACGAGTTGACAATGACGATGATGATGATGGTGATGATGATGATGATGATGATGATGATGATGGTGGCGAAGTTGACAATATAAATGATGATGGTGATGATGATGGTGGCGAAGTTGACAATATAAATGATGATGGTGATGATGATGGTGACGAAGTTGACAATATAAATGATGATGGTGATGATGATGATGATGATGGCTGCGAAGTTGACAATATAAATGATGATGGAGATGATGATGATGGTGGCAAAGATGATAGCAAAGATGACAATAGAAATGATGATGATGATGATGGTGGCGAAGTTGACAATATAAATGATGATGGAGATGATGATGGTAATGATGATGATGATGATGGTGGCGAAGTTGACAATGATGATGATGATGGTGATGATGATGATGATGATGATGATGGTGGTGAAGTTGACAATATAATGATGATGGTGATGATGATGATGATGATGATGATGGCGATGATGATGATGGTGATGATGATGATGGTGGTGGTGAAGTTGACAATATAAATGATGATGGTGATGATGATGATGATGATGATGATGAAAGTTGACAATGATGATGATGATGATGATGATGGTGATGAAGTTGACAATAAAATGATGATGATGATGATGATGATGATGATGATGGTATGAAGTTGACAACATAAATGATGATGATGATGATGATGATGATGGTGCTGAAGTCGAAGTTGACAATATAAATGATGATGGTGATGATGATGATGATGGTGGCGAGCTTGACAACATAAATGATGATGATGAATGATGATGATGATGGTGGCGAAGATGATAAATGATGATGATGATGATGATGATGATGATGATGATGATGATGGTGGCGAAGTTGACAATATAAATGATGATGGTGATGATGATGATGATGGATGGTGAAAGTTGACAATATAAATGATGATGGTGATGATGATGATGATGATGATGGCAAAGTTGACAATATAAATGATGATGATGATGATGATGATGATGATGATGATGAAACATAAACGATGAGACGATGATGGCGGATGATGATGAAATGATGATGATGATGATGATGATGATGATGATGATGATGGCAAAAGTTGACAATATAAATGATGATGATGATGATGATGATGATGATGATAAGAAGCGACAATATAAATATGATGATGATGATGATGATGGTGGTATAAGCTGACAATATAAATGATGATGGATGATGATGATGATGATGATGATGATGACAAAGATGACAATGATAAATGATGATGACGATGATGATGAAATGATGATGACATAATGGTGATGATGATGATGATGATGATGATGATGGTACGAAGTTGACAATATAAATGATGATGATGATGATGATGATGACAACATATAATTGATGATGGAATGATGATGATGATGATGATGATGATGATGGTGGCGAAGTTGACAATATAAATGATGATGGTGATGATGATGATGATGATGGCGAAGTTGACAATATAAATGATGATGATGATGATGATGATGATGATGATGATAGCAAAGATGGCAATATAATTGATAATGATAGCATTTTAAGATGACAATAGAAATGATGATGATGATGATGATGATGATCGAAGATGATGGCGAGAAGATGACAACAGAAATGATGATGATGATGATGATGACGATGATGATGATGGTGGTATAATGGTGATAATGATAGCAAAGATGACAATATAAATGATGATGATGATGATGATGATGGCGGCGAAGTTGACAATATAAATGATGATGATGATGATGATGATGATGATGATGATGATGGTGGTGTGGTGATAATGATGACAATATAAGATGACAATAGATGATGATGATGATGATGATGATGGTGACATGAAGCCGACAATATAAATGATGATGATGATGATGATGATGATGATGATACCAAAGATGGCAATATAATTGATAATGATAGCAAAGATGACAATAGAAATGATGATGATGATGATGATGATTATGATGATGATGATGATGGTGGCGAGGTTGACAATATAAATGATGATGGTGATGATGATGATGATGGTGGCGAAGTTGACAATTTAATTGATAATGATAGCATTTAAGATGACAATAGAAATGATGATGATGATGATGATGATGATGATGATGATGATGATGATGATGATGACAAAGGTGACAAAGGTGACAATGTAAATGATGATCATGATAATATGTCAGCAGCTATGCTAACTACCGTCACCAAATTTGCAAGCATCAATGATTGTCTCTGCACATCATTTTTCTCTGCACAACATCATTTTCAGCCATCCACTCTTATTTAACTCACATGAATTGATGCAATTGAAAACATTGAAAAAATAATCCAAGGTATTTTGATTTGTGCTTTTCCAGTAACACAGAATTTTAAGTGCCACTCACTTGCAACCATTAGAGAATATCCCAAATGAAAGCCATGAATTATGGTCATTTTGCCCTGCTGTTTTTGAATCCCTTCATTTGAACACCCTGCTATTATGATAATTTCAGTGACACTTAAATCAAAGCATGGCATGGATCTGTGACTGTGAAGTTTTTGAAATGTCAATCCATACTCACAGTATGACTGTTTTTTATGGGAAAAGATATAAAAAGTGGTGGTGTTTTTTTAAAACTAAACTGTTCATAAAGAATCTATTTGTATGAATGTGTCAGATCCATATCCCTCAAGTCTGGTTGAATGGAGTCTTTTCCTTTCATCAAACAATAGTTTCCTTCAACTGAATATGAATAGCAACAACCGGAGGAAACACCACACTGAGAATGTTTACCGCATTTAATATAGTCGCTGCCCCATGGTTTTAGTAGAGATCGAAGTTAAAGAACAGGGCCCTTTCACATGACTTTTGTGGTACAGGCTTTGTATATTTTTGTGTGGTAGGGACCTCAAGTCTAGCATCCTATTCTGATCCCCTCAAGTCTAGCATCCCATTCTCATCGCCTCAAGTCTAGCATCCCATTCTGATACTCTCAAGTCTAGCATCCCATTCTCATCGCCTCAAGTCTAGCATCCCATTCTCATCGCCTCAAGTCTAGCATCCCATTCTCATAGCCTCAAGTCTAGCATCCCATTCTCATCGCCTCATGTCTAGCATCCCATTCTCATCCCCTCAAGTCTAGCATCCCATTCTGATAC